TTGGTAAGGTTGTGAAACTGCATCGATTGAGATGGGTAGGACATGTTATCTGTCTGTCTGTCTGTTTTCGACATAGAACTTTGCACATATGTGCGGCAGTTCAAGTCGCCACAATCCATGTAGCACGCAAAGCAAGAGAAGGAAGTAGAAGAAATGCAAAATATAGACAGTAAACAGAGGTGTGAGACAAAGGAATAGTAATAACGGAGAACAAAACAGTTTAACTGGAAATGATAAGTCACAAGGAGTGGATGCATCTGCGCCACTGAGAACGATTTTGAGCCATGTCGCCAATTGTTTCCAACCATTGGTTTTTACCATCCCGAGGGCCCCAACCAGGAAGTCTACATCTTCCTACGTGGCTTAGATTAACTGTTGTGGATTTCATTGATTGGTGCCATGTTTTGGTTTGACCGCCGCTAGCTCTTTTCCAGCCTGACCCTATATCAGCTAACATTGCCCGTCGAGGAAGGCGATGACTAGGCATACGTAGCACATGTCCTAACCATCTCAGTCGATGCAATTTCACAGTCTCGTCGATTGATTTCCCCGCCTTACCTAGCACTCGACGCCTAACCTCAATATTGCTCACCTTATTATTCCACTTCACGCGGGAGATAGAACGCAGACACCTATGATCGAAGACAGCTAATCTTTTCATGTCTTCTGCTCTCAATGGCCAGGTCTCACAGCCATAAAGGAGGACGGAGCGGACTGTTGAGCAGTACACACGCCCTTTGGTCGATAGTCGGATATCGCGTCTACGCCAGAGACGGCGAAAACTGGCGAATGCGAACCTAGCCCTCTGTATTCGTGCTGAAATTTCGTCGGAGATCAACCCGTTGGGGCTGATGGTACTTCCCAAGTAAGTGAAGCGGTCAACGTGTTCTACCACTTCACTTCCTATTTCTAATCTAGGGGTCGATGAAGTCCAATCCTGCAGCATCATCTTACATTTTATAGGGGCGAATCGCATGCCAAACATGCGGAGGTTGTTGCTCAGGGTGTTCAGTAGACTCTGCATTTTGTCAGAGTCCTCGCCTAGAAGGACTATATCGTCCGCATATTCTAAGTCAACGAGATTCTTCCCTGGTAGCAAGTCAATCCCTGAGTCGCTGAAGTGAGTTAGGGTTAAGTCCATTAGTACATCTATGATGAAATTGAATAGGAATGGGGATAATGGGCATCCTTGACGGACGCCACTAGTCGTCACCACTTCAGATGACAACTCGCCATAAGCCCTCACCTGGCTGCATGAGTACGAGTAGAGTGCCTTAATCAGTGCAATGTATTTTCTTGGCATTCCCTTTACAGCCAAGCATCGCCAGAGAACCTCCCGGTCGACGGAATCGAATGCCGCCTTTAGGTCAAGAAATATAATGATTGTCGGACGCCGGTAGGAATGCCTATGTTCTAGAATCTGTCGAAGGGTGAAGATGTGATCAATACACCCTCTACCTGGCCTAAAACCTGCCTGGTTTTCTCGTGTTTGTGTCTCCCGAGCACCACTTAATCTACGCAGTATTATTGAGCCTAGGATTTTAGATACTATATTAGTCAAGCTAATCCCTCTGTGATTATCACAAGACGACTTGTCCCCCTTCTTGTATATCGGGATGATCAGTGACTTACACCAACCCGATGGGACTTCCTCTGATTCCCAGACGCTGCCTAGAACCTCCGTTAACGCAGACAGTAAACTGTCGCCTCCGTACTTAAATACCTCTGGAGTCAATAAATCAGGTCCCGCTGCTTTGCCTAGCTTCAGATTGGTGACAGCTTTAGTAACCTCGGTTAAGGACGGAGGACCTGTGTCTATCTCCCATTCAGGGAGGTGTTGGATGTCCGGTAGGTTAAGTGTGGCTGTGGGCCAATTAAACTGCTCCTCATAGTGTTCTTTCCAGCGCTCCAGACGTCTATCCTGGGAGCTAATTATGGTGCCATTTTTCTCGGAGATTGTTTCGCTTATCATTTGTTTTTTACCACCTGTTTCCCTGATAAGCCTGAATAGTTGTCTGGTGTTGCCTATCGCCGATGCTTTTTCCATCTCTTTCGCCTTTGTCAACCACCATTGTTCACGGTCCTTGCGGAGACTTTTCGTAAGTTTCCTCTTGTGCAGCTTTCGCTCCTCATTGAATTCGGAGCTCGCCGGAATAAGTCTTCTAGCATCTATCAGTTCGGATGAGGCAGTCGAAATCCAATGGTTTTTACTCACCTTTGGATTTACCTTATTCACAGCTTTTACAGCTGTATCTATGGCTGACTGAATATTCTTCCAGGCTTCTTCAGGGTGAGCGCAGCTGTCAAACTCAGATATGTGTTTAGCTAGTTCTTCCTCAAATAGGGACTTAGTTCCCTGGTCGAGCTGGGGACGTGGTGGGTTTACCGCCAGCTGTTTCCTACGTCCGTTCAGTCGTAAGCACACACGAGCGCGGACCAGTGCGTGATCGGTATCTACACACGTGTTCCAGAAGGAGCGACAATCTCCTACCGACCCACGCCAACGATAGCTTATTGCTATGTGGTCTATTTGTGTCCAGCGTTGATTTGATGATGGTGGTCGCCAGGTCAAACAGTGTCTCTCCTTGTGTTTGAAGTTAGTGCTTACAAGATACAAATGATTATCTGAACAGAACTGTAGGAGACGGTCACCGTTGTCGGTTCGCTGGCACGGAATTCCGTATGTGCCACCAACATTCTTCTCAGATTGACACAATTTCCCTACTTGAGCATTAAAGTCACCAGCTAAAACGACTATATCTGAGCGTCTAGCCTTTCGCAGCAAACTGGACAGCTTTTGGTAGAACTCATCCTTCGTTTCATCCGAACTGCAGTCAGTGGGGGCGTAGGCGGAGATTACGAAAAGGCATCGGCGAGTAGTGCAGTCCTTTCTCCTTTTCACTGATCCGTTCAGGCGGACAGCGCACATTCGGCTATCTACCGGGATCCAGTCAAGTAATGTCTTTTCTGCTCTAGTACTTAAAGCTATCCCAACACCAGCTAATCCTCGTGAGCTAGCCGTCGCATCTCCTGACACCCTCAAGGTGAATTTTGCAGATTCATCCTGTTGGCCAGGTGGGGTTAGGTGAATAACCACACTTGGGTCTTGTATGCGTGTTTCTGAAACACAACATACATCAATGGCTCGGGATGCCAGAGTCTTGGCTAGTGATGCTTGTTGTCCTATTTGGCAAAGTGTCCTAACATTAAATGCTCCTATATAAAATTGGTGGCGTGGCTTTAGGAGACCATCAGTGGTGGCTTTTTGGCTTCCATCGTTATCAGTGCACACAGAGTGAAGGGGAAGTGAAGAGCCAACAAGTAGAGGAGTTGCATTAGTAGAAGGAAGGCAAGATAATAGAGATGAAGATGAAGACAAAGATGAGCGAGGATTAGAGGGGTTTCGCGTGCACTTCGGATTGTGAGGGCGATTGTTACTTCCCGGCTGCCCACACCGTGGAAGTTGGTTGCGTGACCGCAGAGCCCAGGGGACAACTGCTTGAGGCCGGTCACACACGGCCTGTTTTTGTTTGTTCTTTTTTATTTGGTGTGTCTCAGTAGCGTATTTATCACTTCTGCCCTGTGACACGGCAGCAGAAAGCGCGGTCGTTGTTAATCCGGGCCCCGACCGATCCGGCATGATATTTTGTGATTTATTTGAAATCATAGGATTGGATTGGGTAACTGCTTTTAGTCTAACTGCTATCCAAACAACCTTTCTGGCATGGTAGGACCTGCAGGAACATAAGTTCCAGCCAGTATAGCTTGTTGGGTCATTGCAGTGTTCAAGCCCGACCACCACGTCAAGGTAGCAGCTATCGGTCGGGAGGACATGTTATAGGTGTGTCAAGCCGTTTGTCACCTCTCCAAGTAATTTTTACCCACATAGGATTACGTTGTGATGAGTTAAAGGTGGTCAAACTAAAACACGGCATCAATTCATGAAATCTCTGACTACTGAGGTTGGATCAAGGATCGAGGTACAGACTGACTTCCTGGTTAGGCCGCTCAAGATACTAAAAACCAATGACTAGTAATTATGAGTGACATCGCTAAAATCATTTTTGATGCCACAGAGCCATTAAATTCGCATTACTCTCTATGAAATTATTCTATTTCCTGCATTTCTCTATTTATTATAGTTTCCTTACACTGATTTTTTCGAATAAAGCAAGAACAAAAGTTTTTGCAGAATAAAATGGTACTATCATTTACGTCATCGACTCCTCATCAGCTGCTTACGGCTGCGGGAGCAGTTACATTGGAAGAACAGAAAGAAGGGCATATCTCCGATTTTCTGAACATGTACCGAAAAGCCTACGTCTCAAGGGAACAAATGTTTTCAACAGGGTCCATCGCCAGACATCTCTTTGACACGGGTCATGAGATGGACGTCGCAAGACCGTTCAAAAGAGTTCAATTCTTCTTAAGTTTGCCAAATCAATCTCCATCAAGAGCCTGAAACCCGATTTATGCGTACAGAAAGAAGCGGTTATCAGTCTTTCCTTGCCCTGGTAACTGGATTTTTTCATCCTCTTTTTCATCTGATTACGTAACACACATTATGTATGATTATTATTGTTTGGGATAAAGTGATTATCATCATTTTTAGCATTGTATGGATATACTGATTGATTTTTGTTTAAAAATGAACTCTGTGTGCAACTATGTTGAAACTGTTTCAGTAGATACACTTAATAATGTCTTTGGGCTGTAAGCATCAGATGAGAAGCCAACGAAATGAACAATGATGGTACTATTTTATTCTGCAAAACTGTTGTTCTTGCTTTATTCAGATTCATTAAGGGGAATAATTGTATGAAGTTAGTGATTTTTTCCTATACCTTTATGTGTGCTACATAAAGTGTAGCAACTTGTAACAGTGTATTTTTGAAAATATGATTAAGTTCAGTTGAGATTTCTAATGATTATCTAATTGATATCAAAAGGTAGCCAAAACCATATGACTATATATTTCTTTTAAAAAAAATACTACTTACTCATATAGTCTAAAAGTCCATTTTCTGATTGATTATAACGTTGTATTGTTTTCTGTAGATTTTTTTTAAAAAAACGACAAAAAGAACAAAGCAAACAAAGGTCAATAAAGTGAACAATACATAATTCCATACAATATAACAGTAATAATAATAATAATAATAAGAAGAAGAATAGTAACAGCTTTATTCTATACAATGATTATTTAATGTACAGAATTTTCAGAGGAGTTTATAGCATGATATTTTCTCTTCGTACAGAATCTTCAAATAAAATATTAATTGATAGTAGATCATATGAACCAGTTCTATCTAACCTGAAGCGCAAACCAATCCATTATAAAATGATATCTCTTCTCTGTCTCCGTCAAGAAATTTACAACATTTAGTTGAACGCCAATTATAAAAAGTTCAGGGGTACATTCTGTGAACGGAGGAAACAACCCAGGAACAGGTATCTCATGTATTCGGATAAATTGCCATCGAAGGGCAATGCTTTTTCACTTCATGGCCTTCGACTGCGTGGATCGAGAAGTACTATGGCAATGTTTGACTGTGAAGGGAGTGACAAAAAAGTACATTGTACTAATCAAGGCACTCTACTCAAACTCACGTAGCCGTGTAAGGGCTTATGGGGAATTGCCATCTGAATTGATAACAACCAGTGGTATCCGTCAGGGATGTCCACTTTCCTCATTTCTGTTTAACTTCATCGTAGATATGCTAATGGAAGTATCCTTAACTGAACTTAACGACTTAGGAATCGACTTGTTACCAGGGAATAGTCTTATGGACTTAGAATATGCAGATGACATAGTCCTGTTAGGGGAGGATGCTGACAAAATGCAGAGTCTTCTGAACACCTTGAGGAACAGCAATCTTTGTATGTTTGGCATGCGATTCGCCCCTGTGAAATGTAAGATGCTGCTACAGGACTGGACTACGTCAACTCCTAGCTTAGTGATAGGGAGTGTAGTGATAGAACATGTTGACCACTTCACCTATTTGGGAAGTTGTACCAGCACCAACGGATTGATTGGTGACGAAATCTCAGCACGGATCCAAAAAGCTCGGGCTGATTTAGCTAACCTACACCATCTCTGGCGTAGGCGTGACATCCAGCTATCAACCAAGGGACGTGTGTACTGCTCAGCAGTTCGCTCCGTCCTTCTCTATGGCTCTGAAACATGGCCAATACGAGTTGAAGACATAAATAGGTTGACTGTTTTTGATCATAGATGTCTACGATCTCTTTCTCACATTAGGTGGTATAATAAGGTAAGTAATGTTGAAGTCAGGCGTAGAGTGTTGGGCAAAGAGGGAAAATCAATTGATGAAGCTATAAAGTTACATAGATTGAGATGGCTAGGTCACGTGCTGCGCATGCCTAACCATCGCCTCCCCCTCTCGACGGGCATTACTAGCTGATATAGGTGCAGGTTAGAAAATAGTAAGTGGTGGCCGAACAATCCATGAAATCCCTGACAGTTAAACTGAGTCAGATAGGGAGATGCAAACTTCCGGGTTGGGGCCCGCCATCGGAACTCTAAGAATCAATGGCTGGAGACAATAGGTGACATGGCTCAAAATCGTTGTCAATGGCGCAGATGTATTCAGTCTCTGTAATCTTTCATATTCCTTTCGACTATTACTCATTCTGTTTCACTCTTATACTTGTCAAAACTCTATTGATTCTCTTCACTCATTTTCTTGTCTACCTTTGTGTGATATTTGGAACGTGGCAACTCGAAATGCTGCAATTCGGTGCCAAGTTCTATTTTGAATCCAGACAGACAGACATGTTTAGTAGAAACTTGCAAACCAGTAAGTTGTAAATGCTTTAAATACTCACCAGACTAAACTATACTATTAGAGGTCATATTTTACCAGATTTCAACAAACTGAATAAGAGAAACCTATATGCAACATACCGATGAAGGCTTTTGGTAGCCCAAGTTTTAAGCAGGCTACCAAACAATAAATTAGCAATTAGTTATATATGAATCCACAGTTTCTTTTGAAAACTAAGAGTATTCAGATCACAATGTGTCATCTGCTTGATACTACTAATGGTAATGAAGGAAACAAACGAAGTAGTAAAATGGCATATACTACTGATTGGTGTGAGTAGTTGAGAACAGTAGTTTGAAGTAAGCCAGCTAGCTCTCTTAGCTGCCTTTAACTGGGGTAGACCACTAAGAATCTCAATCCGAAATGGTCGAAACATCTGTCCGGTGTATAAATCACCTCGATCTAACAAGCAATCACTTCTGTTTAACGTGGGTGATCTCCACCTACTCATACTTATCAGTAGAGCAGCTATCTGTTAAGAAACCCAGTCTGCTGCTTCTTGCTGAGGTAGTTGCCATCAAACGGTTAAAGCCACATCTATCTACACAGAAAGAGACAGTGGTGGATCTTGCACTACCTTGATGATTAGACTTACAAAACAAAGTTATGCATTTCTGAATACTTCATACATTCTCCTATACCTCTTGTTCTGTTAGGAAAATTTGATTTTTTATATCTTAACATCACTTACTTTACTACTCTTTTGCTATTTCATAGATATACTTTCTGTTTTTACATAACCTAATGTATTAATATACTCCTAGTACGTAAACTTTTATTTTTACCCAAAAATTTCTTAACTCTGTCCCTTTTGTCAAGAATATTCGTCTAATTGTCTTATGAACACTCAATCCTTTTAACTCCTAATAATTTACCAAAGTACATCATTCTGGAATTATGTTTCTTTTAGTCCTTATCAATTACCCCCTTTTCATTGAGTAAAAAGTGTGTTCAAATCTTCTATGTAATTCATATTTTTGTATTGTTCAGATTGCAACCAGCTGATGAGAAACTGTGAAATAATAAAAATGGCAAGCCACCTGAAATGGTGGCCACAATGTAAACTTGACTGATAGAACTCAGTTTCCCCCTGCAGTTTTTGATAGAGACATATGGATCTTCGGGCAGGACTTCGAGGCTTCTTCGCAGTTGAGTGGCGTTCAAGATCTGTCAGCGATGAGGTTGCTACTTGGGACGCTGCTGGGAGGTCGGGAGAAAACAGCATATGAAAGTGTGAGGCGAAATACCTACGAATGTGCGACAGGGTCAGGAAAACAGTTTCCAAAGTGGGAAGGACCACATATGGTCACGTTGAGACGGCGTTACGCAGACACAATCGCAATGGTAAACACAGAGAAACAGGTGAACATCTGCAAGCGCCGAGATTCCAGGCAGCGAGAAAAAGGAGCAAAGCCCCAAGAACCAAGAAGACCGAAGCAACTTCAGTCGCAAGTCTTTGACGGGGGGAAGAGTGTGGTGAGAGCTGGTTGCTAGCCAAAGTTGGTAGACAGTAATTGACGTCAATGTTTATGTCCCCAATATTGGTGGTGAGAAAATGAGAACAAAGGCTTTGCGTAGGCGGATACAGTTAGCATATGGATGATCTGACACAGCCACAAAGAGATGCAAGGTTAACTTTCTCTGAGAAACAACCAATCAAAAGACTGTGTTTTCTACTAACCATGATCTACAATAATGTACATTAAAATCTATAAATATGTGTTGATTTTCCTTAATAAACGATCTGTTGCCTGGCCCTTGTCTTCTGTTGTAACAATATTACCTTGATACATTTGTGTAGTTCTTGCTTTGTTCAAATCTGCTAATGGGAAGAATTGTATGAAACTGTGGTGGGAGCTGTCTACTAGCCAAATTGGTAGGCAGTAATTCACGTCAATATTTACGTTCCCAAGATTTGTCGTGAGAAAATGTGAACAAAGATTGATTCAAAACCGACCACAGCAGACTTTGCGTAGGCGGATTCAGTTAACATATAGAGGATTTGACATTCAAGAAAAAGTCACAAATAGATGAAAGATTAACTTTACATGAGAAACAACCAATCGGAAGACTGTGTTTGTTTGCTTAAATATCCATAGTAATGTACATGAAAATATATAAATATGCGTTGATCTCCTTAATAAATGATCTGTTGCCTGGCCTTGTCTTCTGTTGTTACAAAACTACCTAGTTAGTAAGTAGCCTTTTGTGTTATGCAGTGAGTATAATTTACAGTTATCTGTCTTTAAAACAATTACAACTTGTAAAAGGCTTAGACGTAAGGGGAAATTGGCATATTATTCCCTCTAGGCCTTTTAAAATTATCTTCTTAATTTTATCTGATAATCACCTCTTTAAGTTATATAACGGGTTTGACTAATAAAAAGATAAAACTACATGCAATCAAACAGACAGACAAACTAACAAAGAACGGCATGCAGTAAAGAAGAAGAGTGAACAAAGAGTGATGAAAGAATGCAAGTCAAATGATGAGGTTTCAAACCTTTTTCAGAGAACACAGAGGAACGACTTATGCATATCGACTGATTATCTCTACTCTAACACACAACAGTATCCTAATAAGTTTGATAATAGAATAAAGAATGACCAGAACAACACAGAGGACTTAACCAACAATTTATTGCTTTTTGTATTGAGATAGATAAAGAAATGTAGACTTCCTTGTCGAGGTTAGAAATGATTACTGAGAACTGTGAGTGATGATATGAACCAGTAGCGATTATAGTGATGCACATACTGTTATACTACATTCTCATTTTAAGTGTAATATTACATTTTACTATTTGCTTTAGACTTTTTCTTTCTCGACTTATTCCTTCAATAGCTTCATAAATATCGCCTTCATTTCTTAATTTCACTATTTTTATCTTTTATCATAATATTGTAATGAGCGGTGTAGCGAATTGCACTGTTCTTAAGTGGATAATACTTGTCTGTCTGTTTATGCATGAGTAATTATCACGCCAAAGATTTTGCTTACCTCCTGGAATCTAACGAAAGCTTTCTTGAATATAGATTTATCTGGCAGTCTGTTGCCCTCAGGGTTTTTGTTATCATTTTACAGGATTTCATGAAAATTTCAGGCATTAAGTTGATGTCATCTATTCACCAAGATTCCAATTAAGCAATATGTGGAAACTACGCATGTGGATTTAAAGTACTCTCATTTATATTGGTCTTCTGCAAGCTTATTTCGAAACTTAGAAGCTATCTAGTAACTACATCTTATCAAATGTAACATTTCCTTTCCAATGTTGTTCATTTGCTTTTTTCACTTTCTAATTAAATAGTAAGTACAGTTAAAGATATTCTTATCATAGACTGAAAGATAAAAATTATAAATACACTACTAATCAGCTATTTTATCTCCCCTTATAATGTCAATCTTCTTTGAGAGATGTGAGTGTATTAATCTTTTCTCGATTAAATACAATGTTTTTAAGTGCTGATTTTCAGGGACTTGGTTGATATCAAGATCGATCACTAATTGATTTCAGTTAGAGTACCACTAAAAACAATCAAGAAGTATCGGACAACTGCAAACCAACAATTAAGTATCCACTAGTAATTGACTACAGGATGAAGTTCCCTGGGGTTGTAGTGGAGGACAAATATTTGCCGATGATACTGGCTGGAGATCGTGTCAAATATTGCGAATCAGCATTAGTTAGGATTGATAGGCCAATGCATCCCGTCCCGGTGTCCGAATGGTTTAACCTGAAGGTCCTGAATTCAACTTCAAGTGCATTTGTAATTGCGTACTGATGAGGAGTTTCGAAAATAGGGACGAAACAGCTATCCAGTACTTTTTACTGGTTTTTAACACTTCTCTAACTAAAGTCTCTTCATAAAAAGTATTTAAGTAAAATGTCATCGTTACGATTTATAAGATTCTCCAAAACTGATAAATGAAAACAGTAAGAATGAAATACTCATAGTAGATGAATTAGTAGGGTAACATGATCAGTGTAAAGATCTATGTATCAGTGATTGCGCCACATTTATTATGTAATAGGACTTGGCTTTAAAAGTCTAACTAAATATAGAGGAGTTCGGACATATGCTCTAGGGGTAAAAATTCATCTGCCTACACTAATGAACTACAAAAAAACATTAGAGAACAATATTTAACAAATTTTTATCTACAAATATAACGTTTGAGAACATAAAAAATATAATACACTTACTGTACCCAGAGAAATTACTAAGTGTGTAGGTGTAGAGACATGATTCGCCTTATTACTTTTTACATTTGGTTCAGTTACATAAGACAGATTTGCTGAACCAATCCATGATTTAAACAGATCTAATGTATCCTCTGTAATCTCCTCATGATAGAAAAAGCGCTAAAATAGAGATAAAAAAATAATTGAGTGAAGAATAAGTTGAAAAGATTCGAATACGACAACGAATTAGTGTAAGACAACAAAAAAGTTCTGACTATACCCCAATTAAAGTATCATAGTGGCTTACTGGATAACGGCTTAGATTTGCAAGTTATAGGTCATGTGTGTGAATCCCTCTCTTCAAATACTGTCACTTGAGAAGTCTGGTAGTATCACTAGTCTTCAATACTAAGGATGCGGTTTACTGCTGCATTAACATACAAGTGGTTTTAGGACAACATTTCATCCTATCTCACGTTAAGGTCGAAATCTATAGCGAAATACTTTAAAACATCTTTACCTACTTAGAAACTTGTGAATAATAGTTGTAGAAAAGACTGAACTATTCGTACAAGTGAAGAGAAATGACTAGGATACAAAATATTTGCGTATATTGTCTTCACTTAGTACTCTCTCTCTACTTCGGCTATCTCCTACGGAAGGATGAGCCGGTTACATGAACATCTCGAATCATCACTGCCCAGGCGCGGCGATCTGATGAAGAGAGTTCATGAAGTTTCATGGGAATTTGGTACGAGTGATGTCCCCAGAATCGCTCGGCCTTTTGTTTGAGAGTGCAGCTCAAGCCCTTACACAACCAAGTGTGACCTACAAGGCAGTAGGAGTGGAGTAGGGAGTCCACTATCTATTGGCAGCCGGTGACCGGAGTTCGGTTCATACGCCTTTCTGAATGGGGCCAGACATTCAGGAAATCCAACAAGCCCTTTGTCCATACGTCTGCCGGTGAGCTCCAGTGAGCTTTATACGCCAGTCGTTGGAGGTTTGGAATCAGGGTTTAGCCATCTCCCCTAGACTGTCATCCAATAGACAGTCAACCCGGTGAAGAGCGCCGGGCATCCGCTTTCGCCCTCTCACTTTGGTGAAAAACACCTCCGCCACGTGATAAAGAGACATACACAGTGAATTAAATTTCGTGCAGATTTGAGCACCTAAAAATTGATTTTCAATAGATAACTTGCGAAACTTAGCGAAAACACATACAAAGAATCTAAAGTGAAATTAAAGCACATAAGACCCGACAAGGTGGAATACAAGAAACAGATAAAGTGGAGAAAATTGGAATATGTTAATTAATTGAAGATGGTGTTGCTCTAGGAACTTGATTTTTCGTGCTTAGGAACACCTACCAGTGTGGTTAAATAAAGATGTAGTGAGAAACATCAGGAGCGCGATACTAGAACACCTGGTCCAAACCAGTCTGCTGCTGCTGGATTCAACATAGAACTTGGCACCGAAGTGCAGCAGTTCGAGTTACCACTTTCCAAATAGCACACAAAGGTAGACAGGAAAATGAGAGAAGAGAATCAATAGAATTCAGATAAGTATAAGAGTGAAACAGAATGAGTGATGGTAGAAAAGAATATGAAAGATTACAGAGACTGAATACATCTGCGCCATTGACAACGATTTTGAGCCATGTCACCTATTGTCTCCAGCCATTGATTCTTAGAGTCCCGAGGGCCCCAACTCGGAAGTCTGCATCTCCCTACCTGACTCAGTTTAACTGTCAAAGATTTCATGGATTGATGAGGCCATGTTTTTGTTTGGCCACCACTTACTCTTTTCCAACCTGCACCTATATCAGCTAGTAATGCCCGTCGGGGTGGGGGAGACGATGGCTAGGCATGCGCAGCACGTGACTTAACCATCTCAATCTATGTAACTTCATAGCCTCTTCGAGTGATTTTCCCTCTTCGCCCAACACTCTACGCCTAACGTCAACATTGCTTACCTTATTATACCACCTAACGTGAGAAAGAGATCGTAAACATCTGTGGTCAAAAACAGACAATATCTTCATGTCTTCCGTTCTCAATGGCCACGTCTCACCGCCATAGAGAAGGACGGAGCGAACTGCTGAGCAGTATACACGTCCCTTGGTTGATAGCCGGATGTCACGCCTACGCCAGAGACGGTGTAAGTTAGCGAAAGCAGCCCGAGCTTTCTGGATCCGTGCTGAGATTTCGTCACCAATCAATCCGTTGGTGCTGATACAACTTCCCAAATAGGTGAAGTGGTCAACATGTTCTATCACTTCACTCCCTATCACTAAGTTAGGAGTTGACGTAGTCCAGTCCTGTAGCAGCATCTTACATTTCACAGGGGCGAATGGCATGCCAAACATACGAAGATTGCTGCTCAAGGTGTTCAGAAGACTCTGCATTTTGTCAGCGTACTCCCCTAACAGGAATATGTCGTCTGCGTATTCTAAGTGTATAAGACTATTCCCTGGTAACAAGTCGATTCCTAAGTCGTTAAGTTCAGTTAAGGATACTTCCATTAGCATATCTATGATGAAGTTAAACAGAAAGGGGAAAGTGGACATCCTTGACGGACACCACTGTCCAAACCAGTCACAAAGCTAATATTGAAGAGTCCTCCTCCATCATCTACTGGGTACCCAAACGAATTGCCAAAAACATCCAGGTACCGCATACTCCAAACGGCAGAAGCTATCGCGATTTGCCTTAAACAACCAGTGCTCCGTGTGCAGAAGAAGAAATTCCAGCCACTACTACTGTCCTGGCATTCAGTAGAGACTGCAGATTCATGAATCTGTATTATTATTTTCCTAATTTTTCTGATATTCAGTGTATTATGTTGATGCTCTTGAACTGTAATCCATTGCTATTATTATCGATTCGATTTTATTTAAACATTGATGTTGTTAATAGCACTAATTCATTCACTATTATGCTTAAATAACCGTAGAACCTGATGATGAAGTTATCGAAAAGAATATTCTTTGTTCAGTAATCAATCTTTTAGAATAAAAATAGCCAAGATTTTGAGGAAAAGAATTGCCTGACAGCACAGAGCTTGATCAGACTTATTTAGCTCAGTAATTCTATCCGGAGAAACTGGATGAGGAATTTGTAACTTGAGCACTGTAGTTTCATTTAAATTAGTTAAAGTATGGTTAAGTCTAGATAAATTTCCGACTCAATATAAGTAGGCAAGTGGATCTCCTTATTAACGTTTTCAAGAATATATACAGACTTGGGTTTTAAATCATATAGCATGAGCCTTCCATAGACTTCTAAAAGTATGGAAACCACTGCACACTAAATGAATACAAAACAAGACTCGTAGACAAGTATTTGCTCCCTTAAAGTAAATAAATAATGTTAACAGTTGTGAGAACGTACATCAGCGCCTATAGATCAACAGCTATCGCTTTGATGTGGTTGTCACTCTCATATATCCCAAAGATCAAATAAACTGTGTTGGCTGAGATGAATATTCCTGTAAGTTATACAATCCTAGAAAGATCTGTTAGATGTTTAGATTAGGAGAAATTACCATTATAGTGCAAGGAAAATTGAGATAGCAATTGATATCTTTTAGTAATCTTTACTTTTGAACCCACTGACTGAAGTTCAGACGGAATACTGGATGAGTTTTGCAAGAAACTGTCAAGTTTACTTTTAGGAGTGGAACGCACAGATATGGTCATTTTAGTAGGTGATTTTAATGCCCGTCAGAAAAACATAATGGGGGGATTTAAGGGATCACGCAGAAATTATGAATTATTTATCAGATTAAATTAGGTACTAGCTATTGTACGAGAATACGAGATGCCATTAAAATGTCTCAGTTCACAAGGAGTGAGACAATTCCTGTGATAATCACAAGGGAAACAACATGGTCAACATAGTATCTTAGATTTCAGGTTTCATAATTCGGCGAATAGTTGAAGTTAGTGAGAAACAAATCCGAGGAAACTAGGCGAGATTGCACTGTTCATATCTTCACACTTTGACGGGTTCTAGAACACAGAAACACTCACTGACGTTCAACTGTTGCCGTGTTTCGCCGCATGACAGGTATGTATCGACTATTAATTTAAGTGGGTGAGCTTGAATGTATTGACCACTTTGCTCATATGAGGGGTTGCATCGACCCAAATAGAATGATTGCCGGCAAAATTTCAGCACGCGCATGAAGGGTTCACCTGACACTCACCAACTTGCGTCATTTTTGGTGTCTGCATGACCCCCCTTCTATTCATCAAACGAAGTGTGTGCTGTGCAGCAGTTCGCTCCATATTACCTCATGGTTGACATAATTATTTAAAATGTGAGATGAGAAAGAACTAGTAGCTTTTGCTAATAAGTGTCTTCGTCCAATACTTTGTGCCAAGCTGACTTGGTAAAGAGAGAAAGTACATCTCTGAGGTTGTGAAGCTGTATCGATTTAGATATCTAAGACATGTAATACGCATACTAAGCTACAGACTTACTTCACAAGCAATTCTATCTGAAATCTGATTGCGTAGAAAAAGTTACAAGTATTTGGAAATATGGTTAATCCATGAACTGATTATCTATTGGTTTGAGTCAAGTATGGAAATTTAATTTACTTAGCTGAATTCCCCAGGACGATAAGATCCAATGGTCAGGTACTGTTGATAACAAAGCTTGGAGTGGTTCACAACGGTGCAGATGTTTTCAATCGCAGTTATCTTCCAGATTCCGAAGATCACAAATAATCCTCATTTAATTAATCTCCTACTCTCGGATATCTCTTTCCAGTGAAACTGCATTACATTTTCTTTCCTACTTTTATCTCTGATTTCTCGAAGTGTGGAAACTTAAAAGAGGCTCAGGGTAATATATTTTATATTGGAAAGTCAGCTAGTTTCAATTAATTAGAATGTGTAAGAAATATTACATATGACTGCATATCAAATAGGAATACTTTTGAAAGTCGCACCTTTTATGCTAAGTCGAAGTATTACATAATCCATTACATTTGCTCTTCTGAACACAGGAAATCATCCATAATAATCGTCGTCTACAGTCACAGGACGTTCGAGTATGCTTATGGAGAAGTGTCGAAAAATAATCCACCCACCAGGTTTGAATCTCATTTTTATTTTAATACTTGATAAAGAGAAGGCACTGGGTTAAACAGATGAAAGCTTCTTCAATAAACTACTTGTCGCCTATATAATTATTCATTTTTTACGCTTCGAGTGCTACATAGGACTTGTTGTTTACGTGCTTTTGAAAAATGAAACTACCAGGTAACAAATTTCTCAGTACTTAAATACTTATTTGGGACCAAAGGCAAAGACACTCGAGTTCGAGATTCCACAACATGTATAAAACAAACTCGGAGATTATCAACTCAAGGACAACACGAGCAAGAGCGAGAAGGGAAATATCTTAATAGTGCTTACCAAATCAACTTCTCCACTAACATACTGAACATTCTCAGTGGTGCCAGTTTCCGATGTAATATTTTCTCTGGAAGTTTCATCGTTAATGTGGTAAGCAAAGGCTTTAAAAAGCTTCTTTAGTCTTGAGTCGCCAACAAAATACAATCGAACTACATCGGCCCACGGTGCGAGTCGCTTGAAGCACTTGCGGCTATCCCTAATGCGCAATATAAGGCGAAAATGAAAACTTACCTCGACAAATAAGTATGTATCATACAACTATATGGTCGAAATTCTCCACTAGGTCCTGACCTGCCATCACTGAGTAAAGATTTGCATAAATTACCACCTGATATTAACATAATAATTATACTGATACCTGATTTCGTCATTAAAAATCCATGATAGATGGATACTATTATCATCAGGAGAAAAGATGTCCTTTTCGCATTTTTAAAATTTATGACCTCCTTAATAGCAGAAGCAGCTCGAGCTGGTGACATCAATTCGATGAATTGAACATGAATAAATGCAGAAATATGATACCAAAATTAAGCACCTTAGAGTACTACACAGGAACCTGAAAAAGATTGAGTAGAAGCAGGTATAACACATGCACGTGAATATAGCAAGAAAAACATATTTTGCTTTCAAGAAGACGAATCATAGACAACATTTAACATTGCTACCAGAAATTTCCTAATTCATTTCGCGATTAAATATCAACACTTAATCTTCGAAAGACTAATCAACCTGAATAATACCTGAAATACCCAGCAGCTCAAGGTCAAACTGTTTCCAAACCGACTACATATGATCGGCCTTGAATAGTACTTGGTTTCAAGATTCAGATTCTTTCAGTATTCTGAATTGAGATGGAGGGCTCAGAGTCAGTACAGACAGCTTATTAATAGCCATTTCTATAGAGAATCGCAATGCTCCGACAAAAAACTATTCTATCCTATGGACAATATGTTATTTTCTTAATAAGCACTGATGCCTTCCCTAAGTATTCCTTCTAGATTGGTAATTAAGGCACTAGTAAGACTGAGAAGTCTGCATTTTAAATGATAGTACCTAATTCCTTCATTGGGGGTGGGAGCTTCTGTCGCGTTCCCTCAGTAAAGCAATAACTCTGCTTGCTAGAAAGGGAACATGTATATAATGACTAACTGATTTAATGAGATGACTCCCAGTCATTTCAGAAGCCTTAGATGAAGTTTATGATGCCTCTTTGATTTCCATGAATCTAGTTTGCTTGAGGATTGTTATACAGCGTTTTCGTTAATATTGACAGAACGTACGCTGTTTGCTTTGTGAGCGACTATTGCCATTGTTGCATGTGGCGGCAATTCCTGTGTGGAAACTGTGGTGTAGTGATATGACATTTACTCTGCTTCGTCCTTGGCCGCTACACTGTAGTTTAAACGTTCCTTTTAAATTGTCTCAAAGAGGAAGCGTTCAGAGAGGAATTGCAATTCTACTCCTAATGACACTGTTCTTAGCTTCAACCTCCTTCAATTTTCGCTGAGTATTATCCATTCCCTTCAGTTGTGTGGCATCACTCAGTGTAAATGTTCAATTTCACCCTAACTTTTTATTCACTTCATGATTTCTGCCCTAAATAGCTGTGATTTAAAACCCACAATTTTAATTACAAATATTTGAAAGCATTCCTTTCGTTGACTGACGATTATACGGCATAGAAATGATATAGCTGAAAAGAGTGACTCACTTCAGGAACTACATCAGACGTCTTGTTTCTGAAGCGCAGAAATGACTTAGTAAAGTTGTATATTGCGTCTCGAGGTAAATGCATCTTGAATTTAACTTGTGATTGACGAGCTCAGGTGGGAGGTTAGCTCTTAGTTACAGTGTACAACACTCCACCTTCTGAAGTCTAAGGGCAATTAACGTGTTCCAGCATTAAACTAGTAGAATACAGACCTCCGGGGTTATCTCTGAATACAATGTTTTGAATCTTTTGGAACAGTCCATGAGACGCATCGTTGAGCTGTGTGGGCATATAGTTGCTCTGTCTGGTTCCTTAAAGTTTCCAAATAAACGCCTAAATTTATTACAGATTCCACCCATATGGTTACGCAAATGATAGAATACCAAGAGTTTAGTATTTGGTCTTCGTTTGAATCCTTCATAGGATGCATGAATTCTCCTCAAAACAAAGGTTGAATACCTTGGTGCAGTCTTTTGATTTTGATCTCACGGGAGATATGTATAAAGTGGTGAACATTTCACTGGTGGTCCCAACAAACGTCTTGTGTTTTAGCTGTCGGCGTCTGACACTAAGACCTGCTGCTAAGTCGGGGTTTGAGGTCAAAACTTGCCATGAAACCTAGAATCGTATGCAACGTAAGCAAAAGAGGAGTGTTACAGGCGCCGCACGTATGATCTCTCAGGAGGCGGACATTGAGCCTTCAATCAAACCGAAATAAAACCAAGTTCTTCCAAATAAACTCGGCCAAATCCAAAAAACGTTTCTATATAGAATTGGTCAAATCCTAAACAAATACCAAATGGTTCCAAATGGAATTACATTGATAACGGAATGTTGAAGAATTGCAGGATTATTCTACTGAGTAAAGTGTATCAGGTAAACATAGTATGAACCTTCAAATATGATATACCTGAGCCTCCAAACATCAAGAATGTAATATCAGTTGAACGCAAAATTTTCTCGTAGTTAACAAAATGTGAATTTGAACAAGAAATGTAAAGAGTCCAATGAACCGCAGATAATCTTGTTAACACTAAATGTAAAATGGTGTATAAAGTGCAACTTTAGTGTAAAAGCTGGAACTACTAGACGTAATGATGAGTTTTTGTTGGAGCAGTAGAAGTTTCATAAGTCAGCGTTTAAAATATCTTGTTAGACAAACTTTTTACCCTACTAAATTTTAAAGGTGTTGTAAGTGCGCCAGCTTCAAAGACTCTCGACTAACGCATCCTGAAGCTGGTACTTCTCTACAGGACCAATTGACGCGATTCAGAATACTGTGAACTGCAACCGACTCGAGAAAAACAGAAGATCAATTGGCAATTCGGAAATAATTTTCCGTTCCGCTGGCAACAAACCAGCACAAGACAGCTATAACACAATCGATTTCAGCACCAAAGGTTACAGATTCAGATCATTACGGGTTCAAACGGTTACCGGTCCAAATGTTGCAGCTTTAAAGTTTATAAATAAACATCCATAGAATCCACAGTAATACTTCCGATCGTATTACTCCAGTCTTCTGCTGAACGCCGAGCAACTAGGCCAAAGTAGGGATTTTAATTGCCGACGGAAACGAAACCAGATTGGATATGCCGAGTCATAGACATTCATTCAGTATTAAAAGCATTAGCACTTCCTATCAAAAAAGGAACCCATCTTTTTTCCCACCACAACCACTCTACGTTGACTTGACTCTCAATGGAAAATACTGGGCTATCAAGGAAAAAGCTGAAATGGAAAGCGAAATAAAAAGACAAAAGGCAACAGACAAATGCACGTCGCAGTGGTGCGCACTCTCACTCATCGACAGAGACATGCACAACTTAGCCAAAGATTCCGTAGCTCACAACGAATCGACTTCCAGCTCTAGCTTCTTCTTAACAACCCGCGACACGAACATCACACGCGACAGTGACTTTTGAGAAAGGAGCATCACAACAGAATTACCATATGGTACTCTTCTCACAGCCCTATCTCCAGCCCTGCCATCATTTGTTACTTATTCCGCTTCAGCGACGTACGCAAACTTCAGGTAATAGCGACTGGTCGGCTTCTCATAAAATTGTCTTCAGGGTTCCGTCAGTCAAGCTTTGATTTTTAATTATGGAACTTAAAATACGCTTGATAAGTCTTATGAGCCTGTCCTGTAGCCCACCTCTGTGGCTGGCTTATATTGCCACTCAGTGTTCCTCCTCAGAAAGTCTTCACAAACTCTACTAGGGAGGTGTCCGAAATACCCGTTAAGCCCAGTGTGACTTCCGACAAGGTTAGTTCCTCCGTCACTGAACATCATCTTCAGTTCACCTCGGCAGTTTATAAATCTTGTTAACGCTAGAATGAGTGAGTAGTAAGTGTATGAACCATTTCAACAAGCACGGTCCTCATCGTCAAACAGGTAAACAGGCAACCATATATCTTATATAACTTCTACTCCCTTTAACCATAAAAGTTCTGAACAAATCTCCTCTGGCATAGTCGAATAGATAATTTCTTTAGGATACTTGTCATACTGGAAGTGATGCCATCATTTTTGAACCAGACGAACACTCTTCCGTTCACATCCCACGCAATTATCGATTACTTTATGAACGGCGGCACACAGACGAACTTTGAGAACCTGATCTAGTCATATTATGAGCAGTGGATAGGTGGGTGTAGGGCAATAAGGTTGCGTGACTTGTAAAGTGTGGCACCTTTAACATTTTAGGCGTCCACCTAATCTTGCGATTCCATCTGAAATTTTTGAAATTCTAGAAGAACAACTAGCGAGACTGCTTGAACAGATTCTGTTGGAATCGACTAGAAATAACGCTCATGCTTGATGTGTGGCCATCTATCCTCCTAGACTTGAGCTTTGGCCATACTATCTCCTAATTCTGTAGCCTAACCCACCTAACCTGATGGCCGGGCCGTTCTTAACACCACTGAAGCTAGTGAAGGGAGAATATAACTCCTATGACTGCTCAAAGGTGTATTTATTAATGGTGGATGAATACAGTATTGAGATACACGGTCACAGCGCAAAGTGGCTGCAGAACTCCTGTCCCCCGAAAAATACAATTGTTAGTCATGGGTTTCAATCCACACAAATAATCAAATTGGTCACTGAATGTGAAACGGCTGAGGCGTAATCGACTTGACGAACTACCTTTCTCTCCAACATTACTCCCCCACTGAAATCAGCTAGGGTTGTTTCATTTCAGTGAAGGAATATACCACGCGTGTTAGGATCTTGAGGAACCTGTAACGTTCTTTATGTATCGGAAATCTGAAACGGAAGACAGAGGTACAGGAGAAACTGGCCAGTAGATAAGTAGTACTACTACCAGCATGACAAAATCATTCGTCAGCTCGGAATAGGATGGATGCGTTCAGCAGACAGTCTGATTAAGTGGACATGGACATATCTTAAACTAATCAAAACGGTACCGCTTACGCACTATGTGATAATGAGTGTTCTGGGTACAACTTTAATTCCCAAGTCATATTTTAGGGTAAAAAGGACTTTTAGCAGTTGATGTAGGTGCTGTTGCACAGAACTTTTAGTTGCATAATAAAGGGAACATGGGATGGACTTCAAACTCCGTGTCCCGTTAATGCGTAGGCAATATTTCTATATGTTACACAAACAAACTATTTAGCAGTCTGTTCCGACTGACTCTAATGTCAGATAGAACAACCAAACTGTAAATTCACCCTACAACAAATTATGTGTAAATTATATAATAACTTATCCATGCTTGTACAATCGGTATGTTCCTGCAT